TTGGAAAGCCAGGAAGAAGGAAAGGAGCTGAGTGTAGAGGGAAGCAGTGTGGTGAGAAAAAAAATGAAGTACTTCAATAGTTCAGAAATTTAGTGAGGATGAATGAATGAGAGTGAGGATGAATTACCTGCGATGTGGTGAAGATCACAGAGTTCGAGCCTCGTCCCGATGATGACAAAAATGATTCTGGCCCAGTGGGAGTGAGATTTTTGGAGAGAATGGATCCTTGCCTTACGGCTGATCCATATGTGGTGTCAGGCTGGGTGGAGAAGAGGTTGGGGACTGTTGAGTCAGTGAAAGTAACTTGAAGTGGACTCTATGATTTATTCTGTTTTTCTATCCAGGTGGAGCAGGTGCTCTGCACTACGCATCTATAGACAATAACTGTGAATTGCTTTGCTCTCCGGAGCAGGGCGCAGTTGAAAAGAAAGATAACTGGGGTGGTGTTAAGTGTTGAGGAGGATCAACTGAAATTGAACAATCCTGGTGTCTGTGACGCCCGCCATTTGGTGCGACGCAGATCTGGTGGAGAGAGCGTGATGAAACAGAGAAGACACTGTCTGTCCTGATGAGTTTTGATGCAGATTCTTTACCCTTTTGTCCCTAACACAATACTGTGCTTTAGGTGCCAAGCTTATGGTCATGTTGCAGCAGTGTGTAGGAGGGAGATACCTAGATGTGAGAAGTGTGCAGGAGGGCATGAAACAAAGTAATGTGTAGTATTGGTGGGAAAAGTTGTGTGTGTTAACTGTAGGGCTACTCATGGTACTGGAGTTCAGAGGTGTCCGGTGAGAGAAAGGCAGGTTGAGGATAAAAGGATCAGAGTAGTACAGAAGGTGTTGTATGCTGAGGGAGTGAAGAGAGTAGTAGAGGAAGATGGGTCCAGGACGAGGGATGCTAAAAGGTTCCCTGTGAGTAGGCCGAGGCCAATAGAGAGTGATAAGAATAGCATGTGCTTCAGTAAGGTTGGTTTCTTAGCGTTCATAGCCATGGTTTTCAACTGTACAGCAGAAATGGAACGTAAATCACAGAAAATAGATGTTGTGGTGGCAGCTGCAGAGAAGTACTTGGGGGTACGAGATTTTACTGCAGAAGAGTTACAAGGTGTTTTGAACAATATTGTCCCTTCCTCCCAGGTTGCAGGCCTGGTGTAAGATCAGATGGGGCCAAGTAGCGGAATAGTGGTGAGATTTTAATGCGTGTAGGATTAGTTGGTAGGGAAGTTGGGTTTGTTGGTAGGGCAATTTTCTTCCTTTTTCCCCATCCTTTTTACCTTCCCTTTTTGTGTCACAAAGTGTAATGAATAGATGAATAGGGAGGCCGTGACCGGCGTCACACTCCGGGACAGTAGGTTGCGATTCGCCAATACAAATTTGAAGAAGAAGAGTCTTCGGCTCATTTACAGCGAGCTGTTGGTGACGTAACATACACTGTGTACAAAACATTAAGAACACCTACTTAATATTGAGTTGCACCCCCCACTTTTGCCCCCAGAACATCCTCAATTCATCGGGGCATGGACTCTACAAGGTGTCAAGCGTTCCACAGGGTGCTGGCCCATGTTGACTCCAATGCTTCCCACAGTTGTGTCAAGTTGGCTGGATGTCCTTTGGGTGGTGGACCATTCTTGATACACAAGGGAAACTGTTTAGCATTTAAAAACCAAGCAGAGTTGCAGTTCTTGACACAAACCGGTGCGCCTGGCACCTACTACCATATGCTGGTCAAAGGCACTTAAATCTTTTGTCTTGCCCATTCACCCTCTGAATGGCACACATACACAATCCATGTCTCAACTGTCTCAAGGCTTAAAAATCATTATTTAACCTTTCTTCTCCCCTTCATCTACACTGATTGAAGTGGATTTAACAAGTGACATCAATAAGGGATCATACTTTTCACCTGGATTCAGCTGGTCAGTCTATGTCATGGAAAGAGGTTGGTGTCCTTAATGTTTTGTACAATCAGTGAATAGTTGTATTTATAGGCCTTTTGCCATTGTTATCAAGTCATTTTTGCCACCTGTACATTTTTGTAAATACAACTATGAGTCCAGTCTTCTTCATCAACTGCACTGCAAAATAAATACCACCTATTTTTGCACCTGATCTACTGCCGCGTCTCAACTCAATGTCTGCGTTTACACAACCAGACCAATTCTGATCTTTTGATTATTTTGCAAATAATTGGAAAAAAGATCAGCATTTGGCAGCCTGTGTAAACGCAGTCTTTGGTACATCATCAACCCAGCCAACATTACACCACACATCAGAAACAACACATCTTAGGCTGCATTTACACGGGCAGCCCAATTCTGGTCAATTTTGCCAAATTATTGGCAAAAGAGCTGATCTGATTGGTCAGAAGATGCATTTATGAACAAAATATCAGAATTGGGCTGCCTGTGTAAACACAGCCTCAGAACAGGTCAGAGGACCAAGAGTAACATCACATTTACATTTTAGCAGATGCTCTTATACAGAGCGACTTACAGTTAGTGAGTGCATACATCGTTTTTTTATTTTTCATACTGGCTCCCCGTGGGAATCGAACCCACAACCCTGGCGTTGCAAACGCCACGCTCTACCAACTGAGCTACATCCCTGACCAGGAAAAACTACCTATAACTAGGGCCTGGAGTTTTCCCTGGTCAAGACACTTAGGTTGTGTTTATACAGCCACCCTAAAAACCAAAATCTGATTTTCTTTCTATATCCAATCATTTTTTCTGACTGTCCACACTCAGTTTTACATGTGACCCATATCAGATTTGCGCATTTACACTGATGTAGCCTCTGAAGTAGCACACAAATGCAATACTCATTTTCTGTCACTGTTCCTTTTAATTTTGGGGTGGTTGTTGTTACATTTACATTTTAGCCATTTAATAAGAGCAACTTACAGTAGAAATTAGGGTTAAGTGCCTTGCTCAAGGGCACAGACAGATTTTTCACCTAGTCGGCTTGGGGATTCAGCCCAACCCTCTTAACCACTAGACTACCTGTTTTGTTAATGACAAGTCATGTGAAAAAACAATAAAAAGTGACATCGGTAGAACGGTTGAGGCTAGAAACACAATTCACGTATGGGATCGTTCAGCAGACACTCCCAACCATGTGAAATTAACTATTCACAGTGGAAACGTGGTTCCACAGAGAACAAGGCCTTTTCTTCCATAGAAAACCATTACCTACAGACCTTATTTTGTGACCGGGGGACCGTCATGACCTAGCATATGAAATTTGAAGTAAATTGCCCCCCCCCAAAATGTGACATCCATTGGACACAATGGTCTTGCACTACTACTACTACTACTACTACTACTACTACTACATTTCATTTTAAGCCCTTTTAAAGACACCCAAAGTAACTTTAAATACACAAGATAATCAGCAGGATAAAAAACTATAAAATCACACATTAAACTAAGTAAGTACACTAAACATAAGGACAGGATAAAAGCTAAGACAACAGAGAATTCGGGTAAGCCTTTGTGAAGAGGTGTGTCTTTAGTTTGGACTTGAATATCTGTATGGATTGTGAGGTTCTGACATGGAGAGGGAGGGGAGGGAGTTCCAAAGTTGGGGGGCTGGCACTGATAAAAGCATGGTCTCCCATGGAGCGCAGCCTGGTGCGAGGGATGATGAGAAGTCCAATGTCAAATGAACGTAATGAACAGGTGGTAGTGTAGGGATGCAGGAGGTCAGTAAGGTATGTGGGCACCAGTCCATTAAGTGCTTTGTTGGTGAGCATGAGCAATTTGAAGATGAACCTGTATTGAACTGGGAGCCAGTGGAGTTTGATGAGGGTGGGGTGATGTGGTCCCCAGGTCTGGTGTGTGTGAGGACTCGTGCAGCTGAATTTTTAATATTTTGTAGTCTGTCCAGTGTTTTGGTGGGGAGTCCGTAGAGCAGGGGTGTCAAACTCATTCCTTAGAGGGCCGAGTATCTGCAGTTTTTTTCTTCTTCTTTCAATTAAGATCTAGACAACCAGGTGAGGGGAGTTCCTTACTAATTAGTAACCTTAATTCATCAATCAAAAACCTATAGGATCCAATAGGATTACTTTTTATTTCCAATAGGAAAATATTTGTCCAATAGGATTCCTATAGGATTCTGATAGAAGTGACACAAAATCTTATAGGATTGCGAGAATCCTATTTTTTAAACTAGGCAAGTCAGTTAAGAACAAATTCTTATTTACAATGACGGCCTACACCGGCGAAACCCGGGGGTCTGTAGTGACGCCTCAAGCACTGAGATGCAGTGCCTTAGACCGCTGCGCCACTCGGGAGCCCATATAGGATCCATTAGGATCCAAACTCACCTGATTCAGCTCATTGAGGGCATGATGATTAGTTGACAAGTTGAATCAGATGTGCTTGTCCATGGCTACTACAAAAATGTGTGCTATTGGGGGAACTCGAGGTGAGTTTGGAAACACTGATCTACAGCTTGCCCGCTGTAAGCCCCAACTGTTCTATTTCTCAATTGTAGGATGCGACCTTGTGGTGAAAGTTGAAATAGCTTCAGTATACTATCGCCTTGTACTGTAAATGTTCAGCTGTCATATTCCCATTCTGTGTTTATCTCAACACAGTAAGAAAAAAACATTACATTTGTTATGGTATAGCCATCTCTATACCAGCCACCAGATGATCTAAATGACTCAAAAATGTAAAGTATACCGTTCTCATCAGAGGATTCAGGCAGAACATAGTTGACCAGACTCTCAGCCAAGTTCAGTGTAGTGTCTGCTCCCTCCCCTGCCTGCCAGGCAGACAGGCTTGCTGCTCAGGACATCACCAAAGCCGTCAGCTGGAGCCCATTGAATGCCATGCTTAGCACCGTCTGAGGTGCCAGCGATGGGGCTGGAAATGCCCTCCTTAGCCATCTGCACTGTAGAGGTAACTGCCTCCACAATGCCAGATGCCAGCTGTGTGAAACATATGGAAAAAAGGCAGGTATTGGGGGCAGAAGTCATGTTGTATAACAAGCATTTTAAATTAACTCAGAGAAGAGCGTCCTTGCCTTCTCAGGGGGATACTGCAGAGCTGGGATCTTCTCCTCAAGATGATCCAGCCCTTTACAGGCCAGACTGTTGGCAGCAACAACTAGAGAATACAATGAGTTTAGAGAAGGTCATTATGTTTTACACTGCCAATAACCTCAGACTACACAAAATAAACAGCACACAATAACATACACTGGTTGTACAAAACATTAGGAACACCTGCTCTTTCAATGACATAGACTGACCAGGTGAAAGCCATGATCCTTTATTGATGTTACTTGTTAAATCCACTTCAAATCAGTGTAGATGAAGGGAGGAGACATGTTGAAGAATGATTTTTAAACCTTCAGACATGGATTGTGTATGTGTGCCATTCAGTGGGAGAATGGGCAAGACAAAATATTTAAGTGCCTTTGAACAGGATATGGTAGTAGGTGCCAGGTGCACCGATTTGAGTGTGTCAAGAACTGCAACGCTGCTGTTTTTTTCATGCTCAACCGTTTCCCGTGTGTATCAAGAATGGTCCACCACCCAAAGCACATCCAGCCAACTTGACACAACTGTGGGAAACATTGGAGTCAACATGGGCCAGCATCCCTGGGGAAGGCTTTTGAGGCCGTGTAGAGTCCATGCCCCAACGAATTGAAGCTGATCTGAGGGCAAAAGTAGGTGCAACTCAATATTACGATGGTGTTCCTAATGTTTTGTACACTCAGTGTATGTCAATACATTGCAGTAAATGGGCAAAGAAGAGTGTCAACCAATTGATGTTCATGCCAATACATTGCAGTTAATGGTAAAAGATGAGTGTCACAGATGAGTGCTTATGTCAATAGGGTCAACCCTAGCCTCAACCCTAACCCTAACTCTTGCTTCATCTACACATCTTGGCTCAACCCTAACCATTACTCTAACCCTAACTTCTTGTCCACATCCCGGCTAAACTCTAACTAAAACCTCAACCCTAACCCTAACCCTAACCCTAACCCTAACCCTATGGCTATATTTAGGGTTGAGCCAAGATGTAGAGACGAAGCTAGGGTTAGGGTTAGGGGGTTTAAGGTTGAGGTTATAATCTGTCTGTGCCTGTCTGCCTGCCTACGTACTTGCCTGTTAGGTTAAGGTTAGGTATGAGGGACAGAGCTCCAAGTGGTAAATGAAGTTGAAGTGCAAGAGGCAAGTCATAAACCCCTAGGAGGATGCACACCACTACACGACTGGCGAGCCAAGGAGACAGGCCCACACTTATAAACCCTTAGCATGACAAGCTCGGGCTATCCAGCAACCCCACTGGGGTTTAGTCAAGAAGGTTAGGGTCAGGGTTTGGAGAGAGCTTAGATAAGATCGGTTAGGGTTAGGGTCTCAACCCTAGAAATAAACCTAACCCAATTTACAATAAATTAATTTTACCCTCCCCCACTACATGGCAGAAAGGTGCGCCTCACTTGAAGCCTGACTTAGAGTTAAGGTGCTTTTGAGTGACATCGGTAGAACGGTTGAGGTTAGAAACACAATTCACATATGTGATCGTTCAGCAGACACTCCCAATGAACGCAAGCCTACACCTAACCATGTGAAATTAACTATTCACAGTGGAAACGTGGTTCCAAAGAGAACACAGCCTTTTCTTCCATAGAAAACCATTACCTACAGACCTTATTTTGTGACCGGGGGACCGTCATGACCCAGCATATGAAATTTGAAGTAAATTGGCCTCCCCTAAAAATTTGACATCCATTGGACACAATGGTCTTGCACTACTACTACTACTACTACTACATTTCATTTTAAGCCCTTTTAAAGACACCCAAAGTAACTTTAAATACACAAGATAATCAGCAGGATAAAAAACTATAATAGAGCTGATCTGATTGGTCAAAATATGCATTTATGAACAAAATATCAGAATTGGGCTGCCTGTGTAAACACAGCCTCAGAACAGGTCAGAGGACCAAGAGTAACATCACATTTACATTTTAGTCATTTAGCAGATGCTCTTATCCAGAGCGAAGATAATCAGCAGGATAAAAAACTATAAAATCACACATTAAACTAAGTAAGTACACTAAACATAAGGACAGGATAAAAGCTAAGACAACAGAGAATCCGGGTAAGCCTTTGTGAAGAGGTGTGTCTTTAGTTTGGACTTAAATATCTGTATGGATTGTGAGGTTCTGACATGGAGAGGGAGGGAGTTCCAAAGTTGGGGGGCTGGCACTGATAAAAGCATGGTCTCCCATGGAGCGCAGCCTGGTGCGAGGGATGATGAGAAGTCCAATGTCAAATGAACGTAGTGAACAGGTGATAGTGTAGGGATGCAGGAGGTCAGTAAGGTATGTGGGCACCAGTCCATTAAGTGCTTTGTTGGTGAGCATGAGCAATTTGAAGATGAACCTGTATTGAACTGGGAGCCAGTGGAGATTGATGAGGGTGGGGTTATGTGGTCCCCAGGTCTGGTGTGTGTGAGGACTCGTGCAGCTGAATTTTGAATATGTTGTAGTTGTAGTTTCAGCAGTGGGGTCAGTGAGAGAGGGTCTGAATCGTGAGATGTTTTGAGGTGGAAGAAGGCTGACTTGGTGATGTTTCGGATATGGGGTTCAAATGACAGAGTGTGGTCGAATGTTGACCCAGTTTCTAGCTGAGGGAGTTGGGGCCCATGAGCATGATCTCTGTTTTGTCGTTGTTTAGTTTAAAAAAGTTATTGCTCATCAAAGTTAACTTCACGGAGACAGTCAACAACAAAATAGGAGGGTGGCAAGGTGGAGTAGGGTTTGTGTGGATGTAGATTTGTGTGTGATCTGCGTAACAGTGAAATCTGAGTCCAAAGTGACGGAGGATCTGACCAAGAGGTAGCATCTAAATACACCTTGTGATACAGGGGCTGGGGCAGACCTGTAGTTGCCAAGGGAGACAAACTGCTGTCTATCAGATAGATATGAGTGGAACCAGGCAAGGGGTGTTTCCGGAGACTCCATGAAGCAGGGGCGTTTTGATGTATGGGCTAACCTGGGCTATAGCCACGCCATTGTAAAAAACAAAAATGTATCTGTAACGAGGAAGGTAACACGTCTGCTAAGGCAGTACTACAACTTTTAAGGTGAAGGAAATTATAGTCAATATTTCCTAATGTTGATATGTGACCAACGCAAAGCTTTTCAAAGCTTCTTTGGTGAAAAATAAACTGAGATCAACAATGCATCAGGAAAGATAATCACTTAACCCTGATGTCCCTTGAAAGCGACATCCTTCGTGGTAGGATTTTACCAAGGTAAACAAGGACTTCTCAGCAAGAAAACAAGAAGAAAATCTTTCTAAAAGGTAAGGACGTTTATTTATTAGCATAATTTGTGCTCTGTTTGATGCCTATAGTTGTCCATGATTCTGTCCATGGTGCTGAAAGGCCAGTGAATTTTGTGTACACAGATTATATTACTCAGGACTGCCCAACCCTGTTCCTGGAGAGCTACCATCCTGTAGGTTTTTGCTCCAACCCTAATATAGCACACCTGATTCTAATAATTAGCAGGTTGATAAGATGAATCAGGTTAGTAACACCTGGGGTTGGAGCGAAAACCTACAGGAGGGTAGCTCTCCAGGAACAGGGTTGGGCAACCCTGATATAACTTGTGTTGTTGCTCTGGTGGTCAATTGAGTGGAAATTGACTAAATGCTGTTAGACATTACTTTTTATTGGTTGGTAGGCCTTTAGAGGACTGTCCTTCGTGGCCGTGTTGTGTTAGGCCTTGGTGTATGACATTAGTATGTGTGCAACGTATGTGTGTGTGTGCAACATCTGTGAGTGTTTGTGTGCAACATCTGTGTTCACAGTTAAAATCTGATGATAGACAGTGTCAAATGCTGCAGACATGTCCAGAAGGATGAGGATGGAGATGTTCCCAGCATCAGCAGCACAGAGGTCATTCACTACCTTTACCAAAGCAGTTTCAGTGCCATGCATAGCCCAGAAGCCCGACTGGAGAGGTTTGAAAAGTTAATGAGAGGCCATGTGTTGTTGGGATTTGTGATGCTACCACCTACTCAAGCACTTTGGCGAGGAAAGGGAAGTTTGAGATAGGCCTGTAGTTGGTGAGGAGCTCAGAGTCTAGGCCCTGTTTCTTCAGTATGGGAGTCATAGCTGCTGTTTTCAAAGGAGTAGGAACAATGGCAGAAAACTGTCACAGAGGTCAGTGTCTGTCTGTCCGTCCGTCCGTCCGTCCCGGTCTTTCACCAATTTACATGTTGCAGCTTTATCACCAACTTTTTTGCTGTGAATGCATTGTATTGACGTATTAGTCAAATCTATTGACACAAACCTATACGTTAATATCCTTCATGCATATATTTTTACAATGAATGCAATGCATTGACTTCTATGCGTCAATATCCAGTCTGTGGAGGTGGGAGAGAGGAGAGAGAGGTGGAGGTGGGGGAGAGAGAGAGAGAGAGAGAGCGATGGGAGGGAGGGAATGGGGAGGAGGGAGAGTGTGGGAAGGGGGAGAGTGAAGGAGTGGGAGAGAGACAGGGATAGGGAAAGAGAGGGGAGAGAGGAAAGTAATTAATAGAAGAGAGCAGTGGCGATTTTAGCATGTAAATGTTGGTGGGGCAAAAAAAAAAAAAGTGGGCACTTTTGAAATGTACAGCGACAGAATTCAGGGCCGTTCTTACAGTGTTCTCCCTGTACACCAAGTCAGAACCATAGGATAAATAAAGGGGGCATATAAGCAGACAATGAAAGCTCTTACAATATTTGATGATTACATTTCTCTAAAACAGGTTATAGGCTACATGTGCACCACAAGTCAGAACAGTAGGCGAAATTAAGAGGGGTAAACAGACCAAATTATTAGGGTGAGGCACATGGGCTACTAACATCTTACTACACAACATTCACTTAGTATTACTTTCTTAGCTACAGTATACATACAGTGAGGGAAAAAAGTATTTGATCCCCTGCTGATTTTGTACGTTTGCCCACTGACAAAGACATGATCAGTCTATAATTTTAATGGTAGGTTTATTTGAACAGTGAGAGACAGAATAACAAAAAAATAATCCAGAAAAACGCATGTCAAAAATGTTATGAATTGATTTGCATTTTAATGAGGGAAATAAGTATTTGACCCCTCTGCAAAACATGACTTAGTACTTGGTGGCAAAACCCTTGTTGGCAATCACAGAGGTCAGACGTTTCTTGTAGTTGGCCACCAGGTTTGCACACATCTCAGGAGGGGTTTGTCCCACTCCTCTTTGCAGATCTTCTCCAAGTCATCAAGGTTTCGAGCCTGACGTTTGGCAACTTGAACCTTCAGCTCCCTCCACAGATTTTGGGAGGGGTAGAAGGATTACTTTATCCTATCCCAGGTATTCCTTAAAGAGGTGGGGTTTCAAATGTCTCCGGAACGTGGTGAGTGACTCCGCTGTCCTGGCGTCGTGAGGGAGCTTGTTCCACCATTGGGGTGCCAGAGCAGCGAACAGTTTTGACTGGGCTGAGCGGGAACTATGCTTCCGCAGAGGAAGGGGAGCCAGCAGGCCAGAGGTGGATGAACGCAATGCCCTCGTTTGGGTGTAGGGACTGATCAGAGCCTGAAGGTACGGAGGTGCCGTTCCCCTCACAGCTCCATAGGCAAGCACCATGGTCTTGTAACAGATGCGAGCTTCAACTGGAAGCCAGTGGAGTGTGCGGAGGAGGGGGGTGACGTGAGAGAACTTGGGAAGGTTGAACACCAGACGGGCTGCGGCATTCTGGATGAGTTGTAGGGGTTTAATGGCACAGGCAGGGAGCCCAGCCAACAGCGAGTTGCAGCAATCCAGACGGGAGATGACAAGTGCCTGGATTAGGACCTGTGCCGCTTCCTGTGTAAGGCAGGGTCGTACTCTCCGAATGTTGTAGAGCATGAACCTACAGGATCGGGTCACCGCCTTGATGTTAGCGGAGAACGACAGGGTGTTGTCCAGGGTCACGCCAAGGCTCTTCGCACTCTGGGAGGAGGACACAACGGAGTTGTCAACCGTGATGGCGAGATCATGGAACAGGCAGTCCTTCCCCGGGAGGAAGAGCAGCTCCGTCTTGCCAAGGTTCAGCTTGAGGTGGTGATCCGTCATCCATACTGATATGTCTGCCAGACATGCAGAGATGCGATTCACCACCTGGTTATCAGAAGGGGGAAAGGAGAAGATTAGTTGTGTGTCGTCAGCGTAGCAATGATAGGAGAGGCCATGTGAGGATATGACAGAGCCAAGTGACTTGGTGTATAGCGAGAATAGGAGAGGGCCTAGAACTGAGCCCTGGGGGACACCAGTGGTGAGAGCACGTGGTGCGGAGACAGCTTCTCGCCACGCCACTTGGTAGGAGCGACCGGTCAGGTAGGACGCAATCCAAGAGTGAGCCGCGCCGGAGATGCCCAGCTCGGAGAGGGTGGAGAGGAGGATCTGATGGTTCACAGTATCAAAGGCAGCAGACAGGTCTAGAAGGACAAGAGCAGAGGAGAGAGAGTTAGCTTTAGCAGTGCGGAGAGCCTCCGTGACACAGAGAAGAGCAGTCTCAGTTGAATGACCAGTCTTGAAACCTGACTGGTTTGGATCAAGAAGGTCATTCTGAGAGAGATAGCAAGAGAGTTGGCTAAAGACGGCACGCTCAATAGTTTTGGAGAGAAAAGAAAGAAGGGATACTGGTCTGTAGTTGTTGACATCAGAGGGATCGAGTGTTGATTTTTTGAGAAGGGGTGCAACTCTCGCTCTCTTGAAGACGGAAGGGACATAGCCAGCGGTCAAGGATGAGTTGATCAGCGAAGTGAGGTAGGGGAGAAGGTCACCGGAGATGGTCTGGAGAAGAGAGGAGGGGATAGGGTCAAGCGGGCAGGTTGTTGGGCGGCCTGCAGTCACAAGTCGCAAGATTTTATCTGGAGAGAGAGGGGAGAAAGAAGTCAAAGCATAGGTTAGGGCAGTGTGAGCAGGACCAGCAGTGTCATTTGACTTAACAAACGAGGATCGGATGTCGTCAACCTTCTTATTCAAAGTGGTTGACGAAGTCATCCACAGAGAGGGAGGAGGGGGGGGGGGGGGAGGATTCAGAAGGGAGGAGAATGTGGCAAAGAGCTTCCTAGGGTTAGAGGCAGATGCTTGGAATTTAGAGTGGTAGAAAGTGGCCTTAGCAGCAGAAACAGATGAAGAAAATGTAGAGAGGAGGGAGTGAAAAGATGCCAGGTCCGCAGGGAGTCTAGTTTTCTTCCATTTCCGCTCAGCTGCCCGGAGCTCTGTTCTGTGAGCTCGCAATGAGTCATCAAGCCACGGAGCTGGAGGGGAGGACCGAGCCGGCCGGGAGGATAGGGGACATAGAGAGTCAAACGATGCAGAAAGGGAGGAGAGGAGGGTTGAGGAGGCAGAATCAGGAGATTGGAGGGAGAAGGATTGAGCAGAGGGAAGAGATGATAGGATGGAAGAGGAGAGAGTAGCGGGAGAGAGAGAGAGAAGGTTGCGACGGCGCATGACCATCTGTGTAGGGGCAGAGTGAGTACTGTTGGAGGAGAGCGAGAGAGAAAAGGATACAAAGTAGTGGTCGGAGACATGGAGGGGAGTTGCAGTGAGATTAGTAGAAGAACTGTTTCTTCTATTTGCGAATAATCGCACCAACTGTTGTCACCTTCTCACCAAGCTGCTTGGCGATGGTCTTGTAGCCCATTCCAGCCTTGTGTAGGTCTACAATCTTGTCGCTGACATCCTTGGAGAGCTCTTTGGTCTTGGTGGAGAGTTTGGAATCTGATTGATTGATTGCTTCTGTGGACAGGTGTCTTTTATACAGGTAACAAACTGAGATTAGGAGCACTCCCTTTAAGAGTGTGCTCTTAATCTCAGCTCGTTACCTTTATAAAAGACACCTGGGAGCCAGAAACCTTTCTGATTGAGAAGGGGTCAAATACTTATTTCCCTCATTAAAATGCAAATCAATTTATAACATTTTTGACATGCGTTTTTCTGGATTTTTTTGTTGTTATTCTGTCTCTCACTGTTCAAATAAACCTACCATTAAAATTATAGACTGATAATTTCTTTGTCATTTGGCAAACGTACAAAATCAGCAGGGGATCAAATACTTTTTTCCCTCACTGTATCTCACTGGCATATTACATAATTTATGCAGCATCATACAATACATTTTTGGACTCACCTTGTTGTGCTGTGCTCACTTGAACAGGAAGTTTGCGCGGCGGTCCTTCGTGGGAAAATGTTGTCATCAACTAAAGAGAAATAAGCCAGATTTACAATTCCGAGTTGGATGACAGTTCAAAATGTATTTTCCCAGTTGGAGCTTGTTTATTCCCGACTTCCCAGTTGTCTTGAACTCACTGAAGTCAAGTTTTCGCAGTTCCAAGTTAACAGTTTTTTTTGCGCGGCACAAATCATGCTTCATTGACAGTATGGCCAATGTTGAATGTTTATCATTTTAAACTTGGAAAAGAGCTCCTTAATCCAAGATTTGGGTCCTTACAGCCACTCCACTGAATAGCAGGCTAGTGATTGCTTTGCAATGATTGCAGTTAGCCACTGTCACCGATTCCTTCCAAACCACTCATTGTTGAATTTGCGATTTCCAACTTGTTGTGTAATGTTTATGTCCAATGGCCGATGAGCACCGATACGTTTTATTTATAATTTCTCTTCATTATTTCTCTTCATATGACAAGGATTAAAAAGGATTTGCCAGTAGATTGTCGACTTGATTCATGATGATGACTGCTAGCTTAGATTTTGAAAGGATGATGTTGACAGGATCAATCCAATCAAAGCAACTGTACATATAACGTGATTTGATGTCATTTTATCTGTGGCCAATGACCTTGAGCCTTCTTGGATGGGCACTTCTAATGTAACTCTGTGGCAGCCAAGGGGCTTGAATTGCCTTAGACTTGGCAGTAACTAGTGTCCCCATGAGTGACATAACACTGAGCCAATCATTGCGCAATGCTCCGTATTTTCTGCTGGCTTGCCCCCCACCACAGAAAGCACTGAGCTAGGCTGAAACACCTGCATTTTGGAGCTGCCTTACTCAAGAAAACAAAAAAAACTGATATGTGACACGTATTAATGCCAAAAGAACATGCAAAACAGGCTTTTTTTTGCTAAAAATGTGGGGCTGCCACACCTGCCCTAAATGATGGGTCGCCACTGGAAGAGAGAGAGGAGTAAAGTAGGGGGATAAAGAGGAGGTTGAGAGAGAAAGAAGGAGGCAAAGAGAGAGAGAGAGAGATAAGAGAGAGATAGAAGAGAGCAAGAGAGGGAGGGAGTGAGGAAGGGCAAGAGAGAGAGAGTAGGGAGAAAATGAGTGGGGGAGAGGGTGGAGGGGGTGAAGGATGGTTGACATAAACGTCAATTGGTTGACGCTCTTCTTTTCCCACTTTACTGCAATGTATTGATATAAACATCATATGTTGTGAAGTTTTTACTTTTGTTGTTTCTGCCCATAAAAGAGTAGAAAATAGAAACTGTCCAAGTCTGCTAGACCTGGCTCAGCCCACTAGAACTGGCTTTGTGAAGGGCTGGCCCTAGCCCAGGCGTAATTCCCAGACTCAACAGTACAGCTAAAGATAATCAAACAAACAGCAAACCCTCTCAGTGAGAATATGAGTTAATTTACTCCTTTTCATCTATTGGACTTCACAGCATCAACATGTATTGAATGATTCATTTTGAGGTACAGTATGTTCAAGTTACTGCAATGCAGTAAGATGAACATCATATAATCACTTAACGTTATTGCAATGTGTAGCAGTATAGACTGTATGGTACTGTAGTAGCTGATTGTATGGTTAAGAACAAACTGATTACACAGACTCTCTATATGCCTTGAGGCAAGGTGATTTTCAAAAAATGTTTGCAGTGCAGTATTTGACGACAGTTAGCACTAAAGCAGGGGATCAATGTACTCACGCTGAGTCTCCAGTTGGTCAATGGCAGGCTGGATGCTTCACACTGCCAGGCTGCTGGTTGTCCTGGCTCCCATCTCATACACCCCACACACAGAGCATAGGAGCAGTTGGGTCTGTTTGGTGCTGGCGTATAGCCTCTCAATAACCTCACAGGTAGAGCCTACTGCAGGCTGGCTCAGGAGTCTGACAAACACATTGTCATGAGAGACAAGGAACAACCATTCCCTCCTCATCTGAGACATATATGCTCAACTCTGTAAATGTGGGACCCATGTCATCCAAAAAGTTGACTCAATATTGCCAAAAAGCACGTGGAAGATCATCAAGACTCTTCGAAGAATGTTCTATGGACAGATGAGTCAAAAGTATAACTTTTTTGGACGACATGGGTCCCATTATGCCTGCCGAAAACCAAACACTGCATTCCACAGTAAGAACCTCATACCAACGGTCAAGCATGGGGGTGGTAGTGTGATGGTTTGGGGATGCTTTGCTGCCTCAGGACCTGGACAACTTGCCTTAATAGAAGGAACCATGAATACTGCTCTGTATCAGAGAATTCTACAGGAGAATGTCAGGCCATCCGTCTGTGAGTTGAAGCTGAAGCGCAGCTGAGTCATACAGCAAGACAATGATCCAAAACACACAATCAAGTCTACATGAAAATGCCTTTAAAGCAACAAATTTGAAGTTTTGGAATGGCCTAGTCAAAGTCCAGACGTAATCCCAATTGAGATGTTGTGGCAGGACTTGAAACGAGCAGTTCATAACTGAAAACCCTCAAATGTTGCTGAGTTACAGTAGTTCTGCATGGAAGAGTGGGCCAAAATTCCTCCACAGTGACGTGAGAGACTGATCAACACCTACAGGAAGTGTTTGGTTGGAGTCATTGCAGCTAAAGGCGGCACCACCAGTTATTGAATGTAAGGGGTATTGTAGCGGGTGATTTGGACAGAGTCAGGCGCAGAAGGGTAAATCACAGAATAAACGGTTAATTCAGCAAATACAGCGGTACGCAGCAATGCGTAAAACACTACAGTGCGGTATAACGGCACACTGGAGAAAACAAAGCACACGGGTGAATATCAAGGCGATACAATACAATAAAGCTCCACCGAGCTATCATCACCTCTACATGAAAACAATCACACACAAAGACATGGGGGGCAGAGGGAATAATACAGGTACTGATGAGGGGATATGAACCAGGTATGTGTAAAAACAAGACAAAACAAATGGAATGATGAGATGAGGAGCAACAGTGGCTAGAAGGCCGGTGACGATGAATGCCAAAGCCTGCCTGAACAAGGAGAGGAGGCAGCTTCGGAGGAAGTCGTGACAGGTATACTCGAATTCTGTTGCAAACGGTTTCTTAAAAGGAAGCAAACGGGATGAAATGGGGAGGGACCTACCTGAATTTGTCCAATAGAAACTGTAGTTTTGCTCTGTTTGCTTTGATAATAAACGGTGAACGGTTTCCGTAATGAATACGCCACTGTTTGGGAGTTTGAAAGGAGAGAGAGAGAGAGAGAGAGAGAGAGAGAGAGAGAGCACACGATGGTGTGATCAACGTACCTTTCTTGACCTTGTAAAATGTAGAGAATAGACCCATAACTGCTCCAAATGGTTGGATAATCAAGCCTAGGCTGTATGTTACTCCCTGTACATACAGTGCATTCGGAAAGTATTCAGACCCCTTTACTTTATCCACTTTGTTACGTTACAGCCTAATCCTAAAATTGATGAAATTGTTTTTTTCCCTCATCAATCTACACACTGAAAAAAATCCCCACAGCGAGATGCTGCCACTACCATGCTTCACCGTAGGGATGGTGCCAGGTTTCCTCCAGACGTGACGCTTGGCATTCAGGCCAAAGAGTCCAATCTTGGTTTCATCAGACCAGACAATCTTGTGTCTCATGGTCTGAGTCCTTTAAGTGCCTTTTGGAAACTCCAAGCGGGCAGTCATGTGCCTTTTACTGAGGAGTGGCTTCCGTCTGGCCACTCAACCATAAAGGCCTGATTGGTGGAGTGCTGCAGAGATGGTTGTCCTTCTGGAAGATTCTCCCATCGCCACAGAGGAACTCTAGAGCTCTGTCAGAGTGACCATCGGGTCACCTCCCTGACCAAGGTCCTTCTCCCCCGATTTCTCAGTTTGGCCGGGCTGCCAGCCCTAGGGAGATTCTTGGTGGTTCCAAACTTCTTCCATTTAAGAATGATGGAGGGCACTGTGTTCTTGGGGACCTTAAATGCTGCAGAAATGTTTTGGTACCTTACCCCAGATCTGTGCCTCGACACAATCCTGTCTCGGAGCGCTACGGACAATATCTTCGACCTTATGGCTTGGTTTTTGCTCAGGCATGCACTGTCAACTGTGGGACCTTATATAGACTGGTGTGTGCCTTTCCAAATCATGTCCAACCAATTAAATTTACCACAGATGGACTCCAATCAAGTTGTAGAAACATCTCAAGGATGATCAATGGAAACAGGATGCACTTGAGATCCATTTAGAGTCTCATTGCAAAGGGTCTGAATACTTATGTAAATAAGGTATTTATTTTATATAAATATTTTTAATTTGCACACATTTTAAAAAATCAGTTTTCGCTTTGTCATTATTATCCATTTTAGAATAAGGCTGTAATGTAACAACATGTGGAAAAAGGGAAGGGGTCTGAATTCTCTCCGAATGCACTGTAGCTCCATTCTTGTGTATTTTATTTTATTCCTCGTGTTACTATTACATTTTTTATTTGTATTATTATTTTTTAACTCTGCATCGTTGGGAAGGGCTCATAAGCAAGCGTTTCACTGTAAAGTGTACACCAGTTGTATTGACGCATGTGACAAATACAATTGCTATGTAGAAAAAAGATGCATCAGCTCTTTTTGTTGTATTTCTATCTGTAATGTTCGAGAACGTTTTCATACTGGTCATGGCTCTGCTGCTTCCCGTGTTCTTATTGTTCAGCTAAAATATATATTTGTAAACATTTTAAGAAGTCTACATAAATTTCGCTTTTTTGTTAAAGCATTTGTCTACGTTGTGTGTACAAGGCTCTGGTGATGGATTGACCAAGCAAGTTCTTTCTCAGGTTTGTCCTTTCCACATCCACAAAATGATGTACAGTGGAAACTTATCAAAGTGGAAAATAATCAAACAACCCTTAGTAGAAACACTGGTTTGGCATTTTAAATTAGGCCTACTCAAGACATTATTGAGAAGACAACTCTGAAAGATTCCAGACTAAATTTAATGTAGGCTATTATTCACTACATTACTTAATACAGTGAGGGAAAAAAGTATTTGATCCCCTGCTGATTTTGTACGTTTGCCCACTGACAAAGACATGATCAGTCTATAATTTTAATGGTAGGTTTATTTGAACAGTGAGAGACAGAATAACAACAAACAAATCCAGAAAAACACATGTCAAAAATGTTATAAATTGATTTGCATTTTAATGAGGTAAATAAGTATTTGACCCATCTGCAAAACATGACTTGGTGGCAAAACCCTTGTTTGCAATCACAGAGGTCAGACGTTTCTTGTAGTTGGCCACCAGGTTTGCACACATCTCAGGAGGGATTTTGTCCCACGCCTCTTTGCAGATCTTCTCCAAGTCATTAAGGTTTTGAGGCTGACGTTTGGCAACTCGAACCTTCATCTCCCTCCACAGATTTTCTATGGAATTAAGGTCTGGAGACTGGCTAGGCCACTCCAGGACCTTAATGTGCTTCTTCTTGAGCCACTCCTTTGTTGCCTTGGCCGTGTGTTTTGGGTCATTGTCATGCTGGAATACCCATCCACAACCCATTTTCAATGCCCTGGCTGAGGGAAGGAGGTTCTCACCCAAGATTTGACGGTACATGGCCCCGTCCATCGTCCCTTTGATGCAGTGAAGTTGTCCTGTCCCCTTAGCAGAAAAACACCCCCAAAGCATAATGTTTCCACCTCCATGTTTGACGGTGGGGATGGTGATCTTGGGGTCATAGGCAGCATTCCTCCTCCTCCAAACACGACGAGTTGAGTTGATGCCAAAGAGCTCCATTTTGGTCTCATCTGACCACAACACTTTCACCCAGTTCTCCTCTGAATCATTCAGATGTTCATTGGCAAACTTCAGACGGGCATGTATATGTGCTTTCTTGAGCAGGGGGACCTTGCGGGCGCTGCAGGATTTCAGTCCTTCACGGCGTAGTGTGTTACTAATTGTTTTCTTGGTGACTATGGTCCCAGCTGCCTTGAGATCATCGACAAGATCTTCCCGTGTAGTTCTGGGCTGATTCCTCACCGTTCTCATGATCATTGCAACTCCATGAGGTGAGATCTTGCATGGAGCCCCAGGCCGAGGGAGATTGACATTTCTTTTGTGTGTCTTCCATTTGCGAATAATTGCACCAACTGTTGTCACCTTCTCACCAAGCTGCTTGGCGATGGTCTTGTAGCCCATTCCAGCCTTGTGTAGGTCTACAATCTTGTCCCTGACATCCTTGGAGATCTCTTTGGTCTTGGCCATGGTGGAGAGTTTGGAATCTGATTGATTGATTGCTTCTGTGGACAGGTGTCTTTTATACAGGTAACAAGCTGAGATTAGGAGCACACCCTTTAAGAGTGTGCTCCTAATCTCAGCTCGTTACCTTTATAAAAGACACCTGGGAGCCAGAAATCTTTCTGATTGAGAGGGGGTCAAATACTTATTTCCCTCATTAAAATGCAAATCAATTTATAACATTTTATAACATTATTTTTTCTGGATTTTTTTGTTGTTATTCTGTCTCTCACTGTTCAAATAAACCCACCATTAAAATTATAGACTGATCATTTCTTTGTCAGTGGGCAAACGTACAAAATCAGCAGGGGATCAAATACTTTTTTCCTTCACTGTACGTCTCATACCATGATGAAATGGGGAGAAATCATGGGGGAACTTTAAGTGGTAATATGTAAAATATCTAAAGGTTCATTTTTATGGACTGTCAGTAACAGCCTTGTCAGTGGAAGGTTAGCTGCTTGTCTCAAAGTTGACCCTTTATGAATCTCTTTTCTAGTCTGAATATTGATCAGTGTATTACTCTATTCTCCTATGCTTTCATCCAATGGAGCCTACAGCAAATCCCTTGACAATAAGCATGCTTATTATTAAGCATCCTTCAGGACATGTTTAGAAGGATATGTTGGGCTCATGAATGTAATGTTAAAGGGGAAGTGCACTGAAAAACATGAATT